CTGAACCTTACAAGGCATCTGGAACAAGAGTACACTTAAATTTATGAGGAAAATAAGTATTTTACTCAATATTGAGAAATACTGTGGAAACCCTACAAAGAGTTGGCTTTCAGGGCTATAAATAATAGAAGGGAATAGTGCACATTCCTCACTCTAGAACTATTTCCAAGGATTTAAAAATCAAACTATTCTTATTCTTGGAAATCTTTGGTTTGAGAAATTCACTCCGCAATAGTGAGAGGTTGTACAGGTTTCTGGAGAGTTGCTCAGAGTCAAAATAAACATGACTAAAGAACCGCATGACAGTCAAAATAGTAGTGTTGCTGCCATTCAGTAGTGCTAATCTATCACTGAGATTCATCGAACACTACGAAATACGGATAAACCCTGGGCTTTTCTGAACTCAAAGCTTTAAGGTATTCAAAGTCTTGTGTGGTCCTTCAGAAATTTGTATCAAAACTAACGTTCATTTTTCACAAAAGTTTTAAGACATGCTGGAGGCCTTCATAAGATTTTTCAGTTGGCAAGGAGCATTTTGGTGTTTGACTATTGTGAGCTCATTAGCATACAGAGCTCATTAGAGGATTTGACCCTAATCTAGATTTTAGCTGAAGTACTTTTTATTTTAAAAAAAGGCAAAATTGGTGATCTTCAGGGAACTAAATGTTCATTACCATAGATTACGTACCGAATTACCTAAAAAATATAAGTTGTTACCAAAAGGGAAAAAGAAGTTACTACATTATATTCAATATAATATATTTGTTCATTCTGTTAATATACTAGATATATAAAGAACATCTAAACACCAGGATAGTATTGGTTGCCATGGAAACCTGGGCCACTGATAACAAGTTCACCATATCTGAAAACCCACTGGTGACCCTTCGTGAGTTTATGAAATATAGGAGGGATTTTATCAGAGAGAAAAGTGATGCAGTTCACCTTTTTTCGTACGTAACTTCGTATGATATTTTATTACTATTTCTTCATTCCATGGGGGGATGTTATCACAAGTGGCTGGCACATCTTTATATTATCTATGCAATCTACAGTAATGCAAACAGTACCGCATAAGAATGCCAAGGCGGGGAGGGGAATTAGAGCAGTACACAAACTAAGCACAAACTGCATGCACTGTGAAGTCTGGTTGTCTTGCATATTAGTTGCCAGCACAGATACCCTGATGGTTAATGCATGGCACTTGTTGCAGTTCTGCTTCTTTCAAGCTCTGATGAGGGGCCATTATCACAATGTTATTGGGAGTTCTGATTAAAGGGCTCAGTATATATTACTGAATACTCATCATGTTGCAGGATTACTGAGGTTTTCTGTTGCCTCCAAATAATTTATTTTCAAAAAATGCATGATCTGTAAGACTCACACTGAGTATTTTTGCTGGGAAAAATATTTTTTGACCTTGTCTAAGTATTTGAACTGTTTTGGCACTGTGATTAATGTAATAAAATACAATAAGTACAGGAGCAATAATGCAATAGCACCGTTTTATGGTTGAGACACTGGGTTGGGACTCAGTTCGTGCTTGTGTGTGACCTTGGGCAAGTCATGTGGGCTTTGTCTACACTGTCTCTGTGCCATACCTGGGACTGCCACAGAAAAGCACACCCTGCCACCTACTCTCCTCAGTGTGCACCAAATTCCCATACTGAGGCACTGCAGCTGTTTCATAGTACATATCAGGAAGCACACCCAAGCCAGAGAGTCTGAAAACAGTGTTCAGGTATGACCCTCAGAGCTGCTATAAACCAGCTACCACACCTCATTTCCAGAATGCGGTGCTCCATTCCAGAGGTTGGAGTGCATATGCTCTTTTTCTTTGGTCATGGGCTCAGTATGGAGACAGTGTGGGCATAGAGCTACGGCCCCAACCCCAGTTGGTACCTTTAGATTTTAGTATAATGCAAATATATTATATTTATATATATATATATATAATATAGACCTAGGGGTGGGACAACAGATGGGGTGGATCAGTGCCATAGGGTGGTTTGGAGAATCCTCTTTCTTGAATTATGGCATCATAGGAAAGTAGGACTGAAGGGAACCTCACAAAGTCATCTAGTCCAGCTTCCTGCTCAAGGCAGGATCATCCCTAAACAATTCCAGCCAAATGTCTATCCTAGTTGAATTTCATCTGGTTGACTGAGGACAACTTTTCCAGTCTATCGAAGCCATTCTGGATCCTAGCCTTACCCTCCAGGGTGTTTGCAACACCACCCAACTTGGTGTCATCTACAAATATGCTGTGTGCGCACTCAGTCCCATTGTCCAAATCATCAATGAAGATATTAAACAATACTAGACACAAGACAAATACCTGGGGAACCCCATTTGATACCTCCTCCCAACTAGACATTGAGCCATAGATGACTTCTCATTGAGCATGATTATCCACCTTACAGTACTTTTGTCTAGTCTGTATTTCCTTAGTTTGTTAATAAGAATGTTGTGGGAAACAGTGTCAAAAAGCCTTGGTAAATTCAAGGTATCTACTGCTCTCTCCACATCCATGGAGCCTGTCACCTTATCATAGAAGGAAATAGAAGGATGACTGGCTGTGGTTACTTTCGGGTGTGGTTAGGGTCATACTAATCACCAGTTTTGGGGTCAGGAAATAATTTTCCCATGGGTCTGTTTGGGGTTTTTTAACTTCTTCATCATAGAGTGTGGATCATTGGCTAGCATCAGCAAAATGTATCTCACTTAACTAGTTCCAGTTCCTCGTCACTGCTGGGGCTTGAGGCCTTAGTCACTTTATTCTCTTTTATTCTCTGCTTGTGTAACACAAGAGTTTAACTTGCTGAAGACTGAAATGCTTTTTCCAACTATATAGCTATTAGGCTTAATATTGGAGGTATGTGCATGAAATGTAATGGTCTGTTATATAGAAGGCACATTAGAATATTTCTCTTTTTTTCTGGTTTGAAACTGTGAAAGTGTGGATTAAAAGAGATTTCTCTCAAAGAAGCTGTGCACCACAACAGATGTAATCTTCGGCTGTTTGGGGAAAGGCCTCCTCAAAAAAGTTATGAACAATTCTTTTTGGTTTTCATAGTTCTATATTCTGGGGTTTGGCGGGGGGGAACTGTTTGCAGCTGACATTGCAAAATAAGAAAGGTAAATAAAGGGTAAATGGAAAAAGAATGAGCCTGACATGGTAAAACTTCTTGCTGTTTTTTCTTTTTTAAAAGAGGGAGCCGATTTCAGAGCAGTCGCAGCGGTGCAGCCTACATTGGAGGAATTTGTTCACTATTGAAAGGCGGAGGGGTGAATGAAGTAGGTGTTTGCATTCATAGTAGCATGACATTGTGGACCCTATAACACCTGTATCTATACAAGTATGTTTTTCAACCATGTCTCTTTGCTTCACTCCCAGTACAGAATATTTATTAATGAAAGAAAGTTCAGATAAAGAAAATACTACAAGGCAAAGTGAATAACATTAGCTGTTTGCAGATATTAAAAAAAGAAAAACCCTGTGCTTCAGTGGGGCTTTTTGGCACTTTTAGCTGAAGCTGATTCGATCAGCTATTCAATAGAAGTGCCAAAAAAGCCCCACTAAAGTGCCCAATCTTTACAGATGCTACTGAGCTAGGTTGAAGTAATGTGCTGCTGCTTCTGGGCATGCTCAAGGCTTGGCGCAGAAAAGTGCCAAGTTTAAATTAAAGTGCCTTGGGTTTTGGGGGTTTTTTTTACATCTGCAAGCACCCGTTGTGTTTATGTTCAACTAAACTTTCCAAGCCAGGGTCCATTGCTTGATTTCGTCCACTCTTACATCCACTCTGGCAGGAACACATTAAATGTTTTTTACAAGACCCGTTTTAAACATTTTTGTTTTCCTTGCTGGACTGTTAAAGAGGTGCAGATAAATTAGTCTTCACTGTATTAAGAGTTAAAAAACTTCAAAACTGCGTTTTGTTTTATCTCTGTGCTTGCTTTCCTCCTCAGACCTGAAGAAAAATGCTTTGCAATTGGAAGCTTGTCTAACTATCCCAACTCTGCAGTTGATCCAGTAAAAGATATCACATGAAAGAAAATCTCTCTTTCTCATATAATTCCTGAACCATCATGGCTACAACATCACTACTTTTCCTTTAAAAATAATCTTGTTTTTAAACTATAAAAACTGCTCTCATTTAAGAGTCTTTTATCAAAATTATTTTTCACCTTCTTGCTTTGTTTCTTTCAGTTTGGAAGGCCAGACTTAATGGCAGTAACCTTGGCACAGTCCTTGGCCCACAACCTTGGCATTTTCTCAGATAAAAGGAAACTATTAAGTGGTAAGTTTGGTTGTTTCCTACCATCCCAAATTCAGGTCTTCAAGAGGGGGAAGTATTTCCCAATATTGCCAACTTTTGCACTTTTGCCAGAATCTTGAAATTTGGGTGATTTAGTATCTCTTTCTAGATAAAATAAGGACAATTTACCATCACATAATTTTCCTCTTAATTACAAAGGCTGCCATCTTCACTACTCTCAGTAAGGCTGATGCTAGCAAGGTGACGACCTTTTTCCTCCACAGTTTATCAGCATGTGGCAGTAAGGCTGCTATCTCACACTGTTTTAAGTGAAATTGAAACTATGCTCCTAGGCAAAAGGCCCACACACTATGGTTCTGGAGACTAGATAGATTGCTTTTGGGATAGACGGACTTTGAGGAGACAAATTGATTCTGCAATTGGTGAGCAGTTGTGAAAGTTGGCATCACTACATTCCCTAACTGTTCAGAGGCAGGGTTCCCCTTCACCTGCACTGAAGTAATGTGGGGAACTGCTTTTCACCCCTGTTCATTTCCTACCCCAGTCTCTATCCACATTCCTTTGGCCTCCCATATACCTCTATATCTCTTCAAACTTCCCTTCACCCATTTTCCTGGATGTGCCTCCTTCCTTCCAGTGACCTGCACCCTATTATTTCCTCTGCTGCTTTAAATACAATTCTTGCTATGAGGAGCTGGTCTTGTGATAAAACGAAAAGCCCCTTTTCCCTTATGCTTTTCATATGTGGGCATCTGTTCAGAGCAGCAGCATGGTGACATGGCTCGGTGCCCAGTGCACATGAGCAGTGGTGACTTTGTAGTTGCCACTGGCCCAGTCATGATTGTATGGCTGCTGGTGGCAGATACTTTTGTCTGTCCACCCCACCCCCCCACCTCTGGGTTGGTGCCTTGGTTCCCCTGTCCTAGTTAGCCACTGTGGGAGAAGGTCTGCATAAGTGCTCTGGCAATGAACCAGGTAGCAAAACTTCTAGGCTGCATGCAGCCTAGATCTGGGTCTTGGTGCAAAAGGAGGGAGGGGAGGGGAGGGGGAATAATAGGAAACTGCTGCTGGGCTCCCAGATGCAAGCCAAGTCAGTCCCAAGGCAGTAGCAGGGAAGGATAATTGAAATAAAAATTAATTATTTTTAGTGAGTTGGAAAATTAGTTATAATTATGGTAGGAATTATTTGATAATGACTGTAATTACTGGATGATCCATGTATTTATATAGTTTACAGAATTTTTTTTTAAGAGGGATTTAATTTTTGTAATGTTTTAAATATAAAGAATAGATTATTTTTTTAAATAGTAACATTTAATGATTCTGAATGAGATTACTTTGCTGAGCTATTGGAAGCTGTACTTGGGTTGGGTTTTTCCAAGCATTAGCAAGGTGGTTGATGTTGTATTAAAGATGTTGTTACATAGAAGATTTTTGCAACTCATGTAAACCTTTGCTGATGTATAATTGCCCAATTTAATTCAACCGAGTATTGTTTTATGTGTTTCTTTCACCTTTTTTATCCACATTATAGAAAGCTTATGCAAGGGAAAATGAGGATCAGAAGGTACAGGAGAGGAGGGCGAGTAAAAGTAGTATTAGGAAATGTATAGCAGTTCTCCTTTCTTATCAGTGAAGAGAGGCCTGCATTCGAGTGTGCACTCTAAAATAATTATTTCAGGTTGAAATTACAACAAATTAATTGGAAGAGGAGTAGGAGTTAAAAATCAAAAGATAGAAAAAGTTGCAGTATTTAGAGGTTGCATCTATTGGTATGTTGGGGATCTTATTTGTGAATTTTACTATCTTGTGGGGATCTGCCCCAAGAAATGAAAAGCAAGAGAAATTGTCAAGACTGTATAGAGATGCGTGTTTTCCTATGGAAAAAAGTTTTGTGTATATATATGTGTGTGTATATATATATATTTGAAGTACTATAGTTAAAAAGAGAATTATTTCAGATTTCTTTTGAAGTAAATGAGGAATAAAGTAATAAAAAAAATTAAGATAAATTCTGATGTCTTTCTTGGCATAGTAGCCACATCATACAGGGATGTAAGAGAAGCAAGACATGTAAGCTGAGGTAATAACTTTTATTGGACCAACCTTCATAGTTCGGAGAGATAGAGGACAAATATCTTTCCTAAATTGTATGTAAAGAAACAGTCACAGTCCAAACTAAGTAAGTAAACCATTCATTGACCAACACTTACCAAATGTAACTTAACCTTACTGAAGAAAAAATGCAAAAATGTCCAAAGAGCTCCCCTGCCACAATACTCAACACACAATAAAACCACTTGAATCCATGGATCCTACACATGTGGATGTAGGATATGATATACCTCATCCCATGCACTAAATGCCCTTGTGGAAATGATATGGATGAAACCAAATCACCTTAACATTTCCCAGAATGAACACGTATAGAAAACCAATAAAGGACCAGAACACTCTGTAACTAAACCATCCATATTTTACCTTTATTCTTATCCTCAAAAGAAACCTTCATGATGCATTTAGAAGACAGGCCCACAAAAATGAGTTCAAAACTTTATTGCATACGAAATACCATGGACTTAAAATATGCCAGAAGGCCATGGACTTAACTTGCCTCTCACATCTCCTGCTAACTTCTCTTTGCTTCATGAGAGACAACTGCCCATTTCTCTTTCAAGTGGTCAAATGTATTAACATAATAAGATATCCTGTTTTTTTCTGCTTAAAAAAAATATTTTCTGATCTGACCCACTTCCCCACAAAATCCAATGTTTTCCATGATTAAAATGAAACGCCTCTCTTTCTCTCTCTCTCTCTCTCTCTCTTTCTCTGTCTTACCAGATACAGTATCTATCCAAAAAATCTATAGGTAGATATTGTATCTATCCAAAATATATATAGAAAAATATATATAAATATATATAAAAAATATATCCAAAATATATATATATATCCAAGATATATATATATATCTATAGATAGATAGATAAACTATCTATCTATCTATCTATCTATCTAATATAGCGGCATTTTGTTTTAATCACAGGAAAAAATATGGATTTGGGGAGGGGGGGGTTGAAATCAGAAAATTTTGGACTTTTTTATCAGAGAAAACCAAGATCCATGCACATAATTAGGTTAAACTGAAGAAAGTGTTCCGACTTGCTCTTAGCTTGAGCTGTAACTGCTTCTTTCCCAGACCTGATGGAAGGGTGGCTTGAAGTTCTAATTCTCATCTCTTGTCTCTGTCAAGTGTGCAAGTTGGTCCGATAAAAATATATCTCACTTCATAAATCCTACTTCTTTTAAAATAAGAAAGTTTATACAAAACTATATCATGATTTTAAATTTGTAAGACTCAAAGTACAAATTTTATCTTTGTCTTTTGTTAGGTGAATGTGAGTGTGAGGATACGTGGTCTGGATGTATAATGGGAGACACTGGGTAAGACACATCTTGAAAGAATTTCCTATACAATGCAGAGCTATAGCTAGGCATTTAGTTGCCTGGGGCAGGTCGTGTACAGAGCACCCCTCTCCCCATTTTTTGTTGCATAACATTACTTCCCTTTGATTTGGCGCCCTTTGTCCTAGGGCACCCAGTGCCAGTGCACCACTGGCACCCCCCTTGCTAACGGTGCTGATACAGTGATACAAAGGGAATGAATCACCATCGAGATATATATCTATATCTATATCTCCTCACATGTTTGTGGATATATTAAATTCAGTGCAACATCTGCTATGCTAATATTTGCATTATTTAGGGCATCAACTCTAGGCATGAACATAGAGAAGGAACTTCAACACTTTAATTACAATTTAAATACAGAATTACAGCAGTCTTTGTAACATTATGTATGTCAATGTTATAAGAAAAGAAATCAGATTTGGCCTGTTTTCTCCAGTGGCCATGAAGATGGAAGGTTAAAACAATTAATGACATATCCAGGTCCTTGCTATCCCCTACTGAAGTTTCTTTTACATTCCTTATTTCAATACTATTTCAATTTAAATTGCTAGGTGAAAATCTTTCAGAAATATATTTAAATTATTCATTACTTAATCATAGTCTATTGGAAAAATTAGTGTCAATACATAGAATATTCTTGGCTTCATACACTATGTTTTCATTTTTACTGTATTACTTTCAAAACTGAATATTTTAATTTATGAATCTTTAAAGCATGAGACTATTATAACATAAATACACTGTAGAAGAATATCAAGCTTGTTATACTTCTCCTTTGAATTAGGGCCTTATCATAAAACTGTTACCCCTGAATCAGAATCATGGAAAATCAGGGTTGGAAGAGACCTCAGCAGGTCATGTAGTCCAACACCCTGCCCAAAGCAGGACCATCCCCAGCTAGTTCATTCTAGCCAAGTCTTTGTCTAGCTGGGTCTTAAAAACCTCCAAGGATGGAGATTCCACAGCCGCTCTGAATAACTTATTCTTGTGCTTTACTACGCTCCACGTGAGAAAATTTTTCTTAATATCTAACCTGAACTTCCCTTGCTGCAACTTGAGACCATTGCTCCTTGTTCTGTCATTTGCCACCACTAAGAACACAGTCTAGCTCTATCCTCTTTGTAACTACCTTTCAAGTATTTGAAGCTGCTATTAAATCCCCCCTCAGTCTTCTCCTCTGCAGACTAAATAAACCCAGTTCCCTCAGCCTTTCTTCATAAGTCACGTTCCGCAGCCCCTAACCATTTTGGTTGCCCTTCACTGGACTTTCCAATTTATCTACATCCTTTCTGAAGTGGAGGGCCCAAAATTGGACACAGGACTCCAGATGTGGCCTCACTAGGGCTGAATAGAGGGGAATAATTACTTCCCTCTGTCTTCTGGCAATGGTCCTACATATGCAGCCTGGTATGCTGTTAGCTGTCTTCGCAACAAGGGCACACATTCAGCTTATATTCAACAACATTGGCTCATATTCAGCTTATTATCCACTGTTTACTGCAGAGCTGATGCTTAGCCAGTTGGTCCCCAGCCTGTACTGGTTCATAGGACTGTTCTAAGTGCAGGACTTTGCAGTCAGTGTAATCTAATTTGGATCAATACTGTGTGCCAAGTCTGGAAAGTGTTTTCTGCCAGGCCAATAACTATCTACCCCTAATTTTTTTATCAAAGTAATTTCTGAGTATAAAAAACTGATGTGCATACAAAGCTGTTTGCAGATATAAATTTATTTATCTGAAAATTCAACCCCATAAATTTTTCATCTGTTTTCAGTAGATTTTTTGGGGATAAATGTGCCTGTTGATTATACTAATGGGCTGCTTAGTTAGATGTAGATGTCTTGAAGTGTTTTCACTGGAATCCAAAGTTCTCAGATAATTATATTAAAAACATTAACTTACATTTACACAGTACTTGACTTCTTGATAAATCCTAACTGGTCTGTAACCCTTGTAAATTGAATCATATAAGCATGAGCTGGGAAAGACCTATAATGCTTTTAGGCCATTACTCTTGCTAATGCAGAATGATAATCATAATTCTTTGCTAATATTTTTATCCAATGATCCTGATTCAGGACAGCATGAATCATCTTATTTCACTGAAGTATGTAAGTGCTTTGGGAACCAGGATCTGAATATAGAAATCTCTTAAACTATTATACAGAAAATTTATTCCTCCAAAAAGAATGTATACAGGATTGTGTGTCACTTAATCCATGAGTACAGACTGATTAAAAGCCTCTTTTTTGTCTTAAAACTGTTAGGGACACCAAAAAAATGTCTTGAACCCACAAACAGTTCTAATGAAACTATTCTTATAAGTAAACACTATTTATATCACATATTCATGATTTTTCTCTAGGTTCTTTAAGTGAGTTTTTTAATTTCTCACCCATTGACTGTTAAAAGTGTGTCTGAATTTGCTCAAAAGACTTTTAGGTTAAAATCGGAGTCCTGATTTGCAAGTATATACTTTTACTGCATGTCTCTGAGGCAAGTACCCTCACAAACTGCTTTCCAGAATAAAACCATATGCTTTTCCCCCTATATTTTGTAAGCATGTAAAATATTATGTAATGTTTAAAAGCAATTGGAATTATAATAAAAATCTGTATTTCTTTGCAGATATTACCTTCCTAGCAAGTTCTCCAAGTGTGACATTGAGGAATACCATGAATTTTTAAACAATGGAGGTGGTGCCTGTCTTTTCAATAAGCCATCCAAGGTAATTATTGGCATATTATTCAAAGAGAGAACATTCACCAAGGCATATTTGATTTCTTACCATTCCACAGACTTATAAACATTTATTTGCAACCAAAGCACTGCGAAAAAGAAAGTTACCTTTCTGCCAGTGCTCAGAGGGTGAAATTCAGCCTGTGTAGAAGGGTTGGCTTAAAGCATGTATGTCACTTAATCTTTATGAATCATAACATCTGTAAGCCACATGAGATCAGAGCATGCTTTCAGTCCTAATGACTATGTTTGTTCAAAGCTAATCATTTGCTTTAGTTAGCAATCTGTTTGGGTAAGAGTTTTCTTCAACCCATGTTTGGTTTAGTGGTTGGATGGACACACCTTTTACTGAGTAGGAAGAATATTATGTGCCTCCTTTATCTTTATAAAGTCTGGGGTTGGCAATAAACGCCTACAGAGATTCTAGGAAAAGTTATCCTGTTTGAATAAAGTAGTCCTTGTAATTTAACTGAACTCACACCATTCTAAAACTGGCAAAGTTCAAGATTCAAAGTCCTCTCCTTTCTGCACTCTCTATTTTCAAGTATTCATTCAAGACAGTGAAAAAAATGCTACACGTAATGTTATTCCTGGTGTTATTTTTTTCCTAATCCATCTGAAACCATCCATCTGAAGAGCAGAAAAGAGGTATCATGAAAATACCTCCCCCCTAATTGGGAGGTTTCCAATCTTTCTCACTTTTAAGGTATTACAGTGATAGCTGAATGAAAGTTAGGGCTTTTAGTTCATAAAGATTTGGGGACAAATTTCCACTGGTATAATTTTATGGGGGTTCATGCATTCTACCATCCCCCTGATCTGCTGGAGTTTCAGGGTTAATCCCCAGAACTCAATGGGGAACTGTAACGGTGCCATCTCCAGGGCTGGCTGCAAAGCCCTGGGAGGTGAAGAAACTTTTTTGCACCCTGCTCTCAGGGCAGTCTAGCCATCTTTTTCCCACCAAGCCTTGATGTAAATTATTATTAAAATATGGGATGCTGCCCTGATCTTACACTAATGACCCCCAGGTGTCAAGGGTCAATTCCCTAGAAGCAAATTGTGTGGCTCCATTCCACCCCTACACCATGTCCCGTGCTTTGTCTTGAATCGCACATCAAATGGGATACTTGCCTCTACATCTCCAGGCCACCTCAGGCCTTCTGCTCCTTGTTGGGGTTTTAGCCTTCCCAGTTTCTGCCCTGTTACTTTGGCTGGTTCCATAGACAAAGCCCACTGTTCTAGACCTGGGTTCCAGGCCCCAGCCCCCATTTTGCCCTCTTTGGCACCAGGCCGCTTGCCCCTATCCGCTTGCCCCTATTTCTGCCCTGCTCTGGACTCTGGGCTCTGCAGTCGCCATGGTGTGCCCTGCTCCTGGCTCTGGGCTCTGTGGCCTCCACACTCTGCCCTGTTCCAGGCTCTGGGTTACCTGTCTTGTTACAGGCTTTGAAGTAATTATGGCTTTCTTATCTGTCACAAAAGAAACTAGTACCCTGCCCTCTTGTACTTCTGCAACTTGTATTCATCAATGACTTTTCAAAACAGAATTTGCAGGAAATTGTGATTTTTCAAATACTGAAGGAGACAGAGCAGAAATTCACAGCAGAGTAAGAGCAGCACTCATTAGGCTGGATTCATCCCGATCTCACTTCAGAGTTCCCTGGAAGTTGTGCTTGTACTGCCACATTATCCTCTCTCACCAGGACCTGTAGAGCACAAAAAAAACCTGTGGTAAATTCTTGCCAACACCTTCAGCTTTAGCTTGTCTGTTTGGACACAAATTTAGCAAAATTTAGCAAGCACTCTTGCCCATGAACCCTGGGGGATAGAGAGGATCAAATGGATCAGTTCATGCCCTTGATCTGCCTCTTGCAGAAGGAACTGAATGGGAATTCCTTGAAATCCCCAGGGAGGGGCTTTTTCGTAGCTGGGAGAAATGGAATATATTCCTCTCCCTTTCTCTGGATTTCCTCATTCTGCTAATGGAAGCAGAAGACTGAGTATGAGGTCACCAAAAGATTATAGAAAATAATCTTTAAAAGAAATTTAAGTTATATGAAGTGGAAACACTTATAGCAAGACTTAAAAGAAAGGCAATATAATGTAACGTTAAAGAAACCATAACCAAAAGAATCAGCATTTGTAAGATAGTGGTTCTGCAATAGAATGCTTAAGGAACACCTGCTTCATTAATTAAATTAGCAGTCAACACCAAAGGTAGTCAGGATGAGGATCTTGAATCTTTTGTTTAAAACTGGTGCTATCCTGTACAAAATTGACGTGCAACCTGTTGGGAACACATGCAAACAGACTAACTTGGAAAAGGGACATGGCAGTTTACTTAGCATCTGACAGAGTATGCTGTTTTCTACACAGGCTCACATGTCTCTGAAAGTGGCACCTTCTCTAAGGTTCTATCTACCCTGTCCTACCTTCAGGAGGTGGAATTTTTATCAATGTGAAAGAAAACACTTTTTTAAGCTCATGCAGAAACAATACATTTATGAAAAGTTCCACAGCCACAGTATTGCAGCAAACACAGAGATATATCATTCTTCAGATGGATAGCTAGGATTGCAAGTTTTATCCTTCTCATTACAGGAGGCCTTCTTTTATTCAGAAGTAAACAAGAATGCATTTGCTGCTTCTGTCTCTTGACAAAGCAAAAATCATCTCCTGAGGCTCACATACTAGATGTTCATTTGCTCCCCTCTGTCATATGCTGTTATAGCTTTTAAAGAAACTAATCATTAATAAAAGGGAGAGTCAGCCTTATGCATGTGTAATTGCATATTTTGAACACATGCCCTCCTTTTTACAGGCCTGGATTTTTTAAATTGTAGCCTGGATGTACATAGGGTATGTTCCCCCTTCTGTGATTGAAGAGGATCATAGCAGGCGGAGGTGCTGTGAGAGGGAACTGCAAGCTGAACAGTCTCCCGCCATTCCCTATAGAGTCAGGCCAGGACCAGTCAGCATTAACTATATATAGGTTTATTAAAGGACATATGAAAACTCAAAAGAATAGAGTGAAGTTTACATATGCAATATATATCTCTACACAATCTACCAATTTGCATTAAGGTTATACTCTATATTTGTATTGTTCCCTTTACTAAGGCTCCAAACCCCCACAGGTGATTAACTAATTTAGGATAGGTTCATATAAGGTATGTTGGCTACAAATGTCCAACTCGGGATCCTTAAAATTCTGGTTTATTAGGCGGATTGAAGCACTGTAATGAAGTTAAATCATAAACCTTGGGGCTGGTCCCCACACACACACACACATGCACACACACAGTAGCAAGCTACAAGAGTCGGGTATATCTATCCTACAAGTGCTGGAGTCTGCTGTTGATGGCCAGTCGAGGCTTCTTTCAGCGTGGTGTTATCCTCCAGAAGGGGGTCGCTGGCTGGTCCTTCTGGCTGGACAGGTCGGGTGGTGGTCGAGTTGGAGATCAAGAGGGCACCACTGAGGGTCACTTTTCACTGCTTTTTATCTGTCCTTGACAGATTTTGGTGACTCCCCAGTTTCCAGGTTTGCCCAATCCAGGGGTCGTTGACCCTCGTGGGACTTTCCCCCCTCCGTGGCTACTGGATGGCATCTGTCAGCCCCAGGGGTCGTCCGCATATACATGCAGGTTTGGGAGTCCGTTGATGAATTTTGAATAGGGCTCTGGGAGCGGTCGATCTGGAGATATTCAGCCCAAAAGTTGGTCCCCAGCGTTGATTAACTCAGGCCAGGGCTTCTAGCCCTTGATCAGTGACGTTTAGAGATGTCCAGGTTGCTACATTGTCTTCTATTGAGTTCTTCTCTTGGTTGATCTGCAGTTTCCTTAGGTGTTAATTGCTGCCTGCTGCTACTGTGTTACACATTCAATCACTGATTCACTCGCTCTTTCAGGGGCCAGCCTGATACAGGGAAGCGGCAGTTTGACTCCTGCCCTTGTTAACATTGTTACTAAACGCATTTACAGTTGAAAGATGAGGAGTATGAAATATAAGCTACAAATGCCATGGCACACAAATAGATAAAAATACCAAAATACACGGGGAGATACAAAATGCACACATAAATTTTCAAATGCAATTCCTTATCTTAAAGTGAAAGAAAGAGGAAGGAAGAAAAAGTAGAAGAGGAAAAACATATTCAAAGAGGGGAGAGCAAATGCAGGCAAGAGGAAAAGGGGGCTTTCTTCTACAGGTAAATACAACTAGTCATAAGAATAAACACAAGGGAACTGTAGATAAGTACGATAACCCCAGGGGAAATATCATCAGGGGTTAAAAAAGTTAAACATATACCCATGCACATGTATATAACAATTGAACAATCATAATTGACAATAACAAAATATGAGGTGCTTGGACAAAATATAGGGTGCTCACACAACCTTCAAGGTATTCCGTGTCCCTACAAGACTTTCCCTTTCATGGCAAAGAGCCTTGTGCAGCTCCAATGTGGGGAACATCAGAGTTCCCAGGATCCTCTGTCCCTTGTGGGCTGGGTTGGGATCCCTGCCCCACAGGGATCTCTGCTAGCTCCCCCTTCCAAGGGCTTCCTTTCCTGTGGAAACCTTTTCCCCGTTAACTCATGGCTTCAATGGAGTGGGGTTATCTTCGGCTCTCAGATGGGGGCCCCTTTCTGGCAGGTGTGTTCCTCCACTGCCTGGGGCTCTCCAGTCCGCAGGCCAGCTTGGAGCCATGTACACCATTCGGCTCCCCCTGTTGCTCAGGATTAGAGGCCTGGGCTGCCTCATGTGATGCCATGGCAGGGTCTCTGTTGGCTGCCTGGCTGTGTGCCAAGGGCTTGTGACCCAAGCTGCCAGAAGCAGCTCCAAGAGTCCTGATCTGCTCCCAGATCCTCCATGCAGCGCTATCTGCACCAGGGTCCCTCGCCACCTGCCAGGGGTTGCAGACCTGAGCTGCCTCCCAGGGTCTGAGCTCCATGCACCGATTCATGCACCGCATCTCTGGCCACACACCAGA